GAATCCAAATGGGGAAAATTTTCAAACAAAACATAAGAAAATCAAATCAGAATCTCAATCAGATCAAAGTAGCATCGGTTCACCAAAATTCCATAAAATCAAGCAAATCGAATCAACTGATATCAGAAAAATCCATATTCAAAATCAATATCGAATCATATCAGACAAAATCCAATCTCAAAAGGAAAAAGTAACGCAAAGCCGTGTCAATCCAGGCCCACGAAAAACATATATAAAACAAAGGGGCCATTCGAAAAAAAAAACCCTAACGCTGTTCTCTACACAGAAGAAACCACAAAAGATAAAGTGACAGAACATTCTCACCAGAGGCGCGCTGTTATCAGAGAAGAAAACGACAAGAACGGACAGGTCGCAAGCAAACCCTAGTGGTCGCGAGAGGGAAAAGATTCACCGGCGCCGTTTAAAGCCACGACGAGCAAATCCTTTCATCGAAGCTCAGTCTACCATCCTTGCCTCCGATTGAACCCACCGTAAGCTTTTCGCTCCATTATCAGCATATTAACCGTTTGTTTCTGTTTCTTAGTGTGCGGAGAAGGTGATACGAAAGAAAAAGGGAGACAGAAGCCATAAACGAGGAAGAATAGTGGGCGATATCGTGATGATAGCGAGAGAGAATGAGAGAAACGAAGAAGAAGAAGTGAGCGGCGCCTCAAGGGCATTAGGGTTCTGAGAACCCTAATTGCTTTCCAAAATTAATCCAACCGGGTTGGGTCCGGGGTGATGACCGGCCCAACCCCTTATGTTTTGTTTTTTATTTTTTTATTATTTATTTTGTTTTTAAATTATGTTTTTATTTGTTTTAAAGTGTTTTAAAAAAAAAATTTCTTTTTTATGAAGATATCATACATAAATAAAAATCTTTTATAATATATTAAAAAACCCTTTTCTTAAAATAAAAATTAAAACTTTCTTTTTTAAAATTTTTGTAAATATAAAAATGAAAAAACTCTTTTTTAAATAAAATAAGGAAAATTTTAAAAAATACAAAAAAATAAAATTTTTTTAAAAAAAAAAAGGGAGTAAATTATTTTTAAACTAAATTTCTTTTGCCAGCTAACATTTAACTATTAAGACTTTTTTTAATAATAAAATCGCAAATTTGCATCTTAACTCATTTGATCACCGCCTAACTCTGCCCACTAACACCATTTGTCCATTTTGCAGCTCATTACATCTACAGTTACTTATCTCATTTTATTTCATTACTATATTGTAACTGCTTCTCATATGTAACCTCGCGAACCAATAATCGCGCTTTAAATTTCTGCCTTTTAATTTCTGTTTGTATGGCTTTAACTTCTGTTTTATTCCCTGTTTGCAACTCAATCATCTCACACCTTCATTAATATTTCTGTCACATTGCACACACATCCGAAGGTTAGGTCTAGCTTTTGGCCGCCGCGCCAATAGTCCTCAAGCTTCAAACCCTTACAACCTCACAAACCCTAATTTTCACAAATGCCTCGCCGCAGGCAAAATTACAATTTTACCCCTAGCATTAGGTCAAAGAGCCGCCGCGCTCATTTTAGGGTTTCCCGCCGTGGAATCCCTAACCTAATTTAACCCTAATTACAACTTAACAATTTCAACATAGAGATTTGGAGTTTCTACACTCCGCGTAAATGTGTCCTTAAGACATGTTTATTCCCCTTGAGACCTTGACCACAGTCAAGAAGTCTCTAACCTCCCTTTTGAGGGGAACTACGATTACTCTGATTCCACTCCCGTAAGGATACGTAGGCACAAGATGCGATGTCTTGCCGAGTAAACTTAGAATTAACCCCTTAGGTCTCTTTTCTCACTTCTAATCCTTTGTACATATACCTTAAGCAAATAAATAAAGCAAATAGTAAACATTTGAACAAAAGGTTCCTGTAGAGTACTACAGAAGTTTAGGGTGCTAATACCTTCCCTAAATTTAACCAACCCCCGAACCCTAGATCTTTCCCCGCATTGTGTTTACGATGCAAAAATAGGTTTTCCCTCTTTTGACCTTTTCCTTCGGATAAATCAAAGAGCGGTTGTGAATTGAATTGCGATTCAAACTCATTAATAGTTTGATATCCTATTTCCACCGCAACAGTATGCATAGTTTCCATTAATAGGACCAACAACATATTAATATATCCAACCATAACACCATGGATTTCAGAGTGTGCCTTTAGTGTACAATGCAAATTATCAATAGCATTAGCATGAACTGCACGAATCATATATATATATATATATATATATATATATATATATATATATATATATATATATATATATATATATATATATATATATATATATATATATATATATATATATATATATATATATATATATATATATATATATATATATATATATATATATATATATATATATATATATATATATATATATATATATATATATATATATATATATATATATATATATATATATATATATATATATATATATATATATATATACTTGACTGTAAATTGTTCACCAGGATACTCCCTATTCCACCACTTTTTCAGCTATGACTTTAACCACACTCCAACATCTAAGAAAACTAAATTACCAGATTCATCTTATTCTTCCTTCTGCAAATCCATTCTAAGTATTATATTCTAGCCAAAACCTTTAGCAACTACAAGCACATCGTGTCCACTTTCCTTAAGTCATTGATAAAGAAACTCAAAGAGCCATCATTTTCCTTCTAAGTAAAACTCTAGTCTAAAGATTAGGAAGCAATCAACGTCACGACTACTGAGTGTTGTATGAAGAGCAATGTGACCTGCACTAAGAAAGTATACATTTGGTCACATTTATTCTTGATGAAAACCATGTTCCCAAATGTTTTCTCAGTTGTATTTATTACACCATAATCCAAATATTTAATTTTGTATCCTTTGATAGCTCTTAAGTGTTTGCATTAGTCATAAACATATATGATGCAGATAAGGCATAGTTCTATCATATTCAAATCATTTTGTAGCAAGTCATGGTTTTACAGCATTTAGAGACAGAGTTATGTACCATTTTCAAAATGCAAAAACTTAGACATAGATTTGTCATGGTTTTGCTATATTAGACAGTTTGAGAAATTCTTATGTACCATTTTCAAACCCTTACTTTGACTATCAATTTCCAGAAATTAGTAAGTAACAAATGGATGCACATATTAACCGCAAGATCTTAAATATTCTCAACAAATGCACATAATGATCAAGAAAAATAAATAGTTTCAAATAGTGTTTCCACAACCTAATTCAATAATATAAATTAACTCATTAGTCATCATACATCAGAAATAACTCACCATCCGCACGCCCAAATCCCAACAGCTTTACAAGGTTGGGATGAGAAAGCCTTCCTAAGAAATCCACCTTTGACTGCCCTAAAAAATGAATCATAAATATAAATAGATGGCACCACATATTAACAAAATTGTGAATGTGATGATCCAATTTTGAAAGTTCATCCATGATGCAGTAATGTCAATACATGTCATTCTACAAATCCTTGTGTGCTGTGAGAATTCGATTTTTTGATGGCACAGACAACTCACTTTCATTAATTTCAGTGTCAATGAAAAATGCAAAATAAATAAAGGCATAAGAAGACAAACCTGTAATGATTCAACATTATGCAGAAACAATGACAGACCATTCACTTAAACTCAGAACATATCTCAAAGGCAGAACCTGATGGGAAGAATCTTTGGCAGGTTATAAACAATTGAAGTTATAGTTTCAAAAAAATGTCGTTGTCTTACTCTCCAACTTTCTGGGCATGTACTTCTGCAACAATAATATAATTCATAATCATTACCCTAAAATTATTGAATATAATATCTAGAAAAGAATTAAATTGTTGAATATATATTCAACTATGTATTCTGCTTTAGCAGCAGACTACTAAAGATTAAGAAAATAACATGAAAGTCAAACAAAAGCTGAAGTTTATAACTAATGATAAACTATTGGGTTTATTTCTAATTCAAGTTTTAAAGCATCAACATTTTTTTCCTTAGTTTTCAATGATAGCTAAGAAATCAAAGATTCTAGAGCAATGCATCGCAAACTATAAACAACACAGAATAACTATAAAGTTTAAACCAATTAAGGCTGCAACATCAACAGTATCAATGTAAAACTTATTTGGTAAAATGTGTACTAAACAATGTATCATACAAAGGCCTCCATTCAATAGTTAGTGCCATCTTTACCGAATTTGGACTAACAGATGCCAATATATCTCCAGTAGCATCCCAACAAATATTATTTATCGGTTCATGATGACACTACAAAGACAAGTGATTTAACTACAAAATCCACATAGAAAAATCTTCAATTGAAAAACATCATGATAGCTATATAGAGCAACTCAATCTTTTACCGGCAGTGAGTAAATTTGTCTGTCAATTTTGACGTTGAAAATAGACACCACTTTATCAGAATCTGCTGCAAGTAACTGTCTCAATCGAGGCTGAAACCTCACTTCTGCACTACCTCTCTGAAACAAACGATTGTGATGAATATTAGAGAACATAACATTGTAGAAAATGGATATGATAGAATGTACTTGTTTTGACTAACCTTAGATACACGAGTACAAGAGGATGGAGTAATGTTCCAATATCGAATTCAATTTTCAGTATCGCAGAAGCAGAAAATGTTAGTCTTCTTGAGGTGAAAATCAAGGGACATAATAGCTGAACTATGGCCACTATATTCTTGAACACAATAAGTTGGCTGCAATGAAAGAAAGATAAAAAAAAAGAGTAAATTGTATTTTGTATATATAATTGCAAAAGATTTTGCAAGTTTTAAACATCGTATGCACAAGTTATAAATAACTTATTTTTTGGTGAATATGTTAATACCTTATATAATAATGGGTAAATTGAAAAAAGTTTGTTATGTTACATTGGATGCGTCCCATAACCACACAGATTTGTCACATGAGGCAGTTGCTAATTTGTGTTCTTTAGGAGTGCTCTATGTCCCTAAAGTGTCCATATTCCACAGAATAACCTGATAAATTCCCCCATAAAAGAGTAACTAATACATTTAAATATGGCACAATATCCTTTTTATGCAAGCAAATTACCTTATTGTCATCCCCGAAACTGGCTAGCAACTTTCCATCCGAAGAAAAGTGACAGCAAGTAACTGTGTTCCTTGTTCTTATACAACCAAATTCAGCAAAGGTGAAACCTGAAATAAAAGTGGGTGAGTCATACTTTCCCAAACTGAGAAGAAAGACACACCCATAAAGCTTACATTTTGAAGATTCTTTTTGTTGCTCAGTTGGACTTTGTTTTATAGCCCCATAGAGATTTACACCATCTCGTCTGTCATTTGATAGAAAGGATCCCACATTATCTTCTAAAGCACCAACATCTCTAAATCGTTCTATATCATCCTGGTTTATGAAATACATTTACGCATTTACGCAACATCACAACAAACACATTTATGCCAACATCTTCTAATTTGTTTTACTTATAACTCAACATCACAACAAACACATTTACGCAAATGTTTACATCAAGATTAATTGTTAGAAATAGAAGATTGTTCATTTAAATACAACTAACGAAGAAATCGAAAAATATCAACATACCTTGTAACTTGCGAGGAATGCGGTGAAATACCTGAAATAAGGTATTAACCGAAATGATATTATGTTCAGTTGTTAACATAAAAATTGATGTCTGCAAGTTTTAAGGAAAATCGATATCAGGTTCAATAGTATAAACAAAATACCTCTGCCCGTTACAATACCAATATCTGCAAGTTTTAAGGCAGGTGCATCATTAACACCATCCCTGTTCATAACAACTACTTCAATCAATAAATATTGAGACATCACCGACTGACTATGTGGAAAGTAGCAGAGGAAGAATCAGAGACGAGGGAGAAAGGGGGAGACGGAGATCTAGGGTTTTGACAGAGAGAGAGAGAGAGAGAGAGAGAGAGAGAGAGAGAGAGAGAGAGAGAGAGAGAGAGAGAGAGAGAGAGAGAGAGAGAGAGAGAGAGAGAGAGAGAGAGAGAGAGAGAGAGAGAGAGAGAGAGAGAGAGAGAGAGAGAGAGAGAGAGAGAGAGAGAAAATACATAAAGTGAGGGAAAATACACAAAGGGCGGATTTACAGTTTATGGTGCAAAATGTAAGAAATGAAAAATAAAAATAAGAAAACCAAATTTTTTGAACTAGATTAACATACATGTACTCCTCATGTCTCTCAAAGATCATTTTCGGAAGAAAAGAAAAGTTTTAAACATCAAAGGGGCAGTGGCGGATTTACAGTTTATGGAGAAAAAGAGAGAAAACAGAGAAAGGGGCGGAATTAGGATTTGTGGAGGAAAGAAGAGAAAATTGAGAGTGATGAAAAACGAGAGAGTGAGAGAAATCTGGAGAGAGAATGGTTTTGGTGGAAGGGGAAAATTTGAGGTAGCCGATGGTTAATTGACATTTGTCATGCAAATAGAGATTTGTGTGAGATTTATTTGTTACATTTGTTAATTACTTATTTGTCCAATTAGTAGTGTAAATAAAATGTAGGAAAGAGACAATTATATAAGATCATGCAATAATATTTTAAAGGGTTGATAGTAGATTTACTTAAATAATCATCAAATTTCAAAAAAGGCTTCGAGTTTGTTGTTGAACTTTCATACCATATATCACATCTCAATTGAAAAGTCTTAAATCATATTGGTGTTTTATGCTAATTTCTTTTTTAATAAATCTTTTGAGCCAGTTCTAAAAGGGTTGATGTGTTCATAACACTTAATTTCGGATATTACTTAAAATTTATTACTTTGATGTCCAAATTATTCTCATACACAAACTGATCAACAAAACAGCAAATTTAGCATGACAATCCCGGATTTATATACTCTTAACAAATAATTAATTAACTACCCTCACTACTCAATAAGGGACAAACTTTATTTGAATCAAGTAGATAAATTAACTGAGAATGAGGGTCTAAACTTTAATTGAATCAAAATAACCACACAAAATACAGCATTTTAAAATGTTCACATTCACATTCGTTCTTTCTTGCTAATGCAGAATAATATAAGCCTCGAGTATGAAGTAATGAATCACTCAAATAAAGCCAATACAATAGTTTTATATTGACCTTTTATTTACTTATTATTTAAATGTCTTAGCATTACTTGAGCATAAACGAAAAGGTAAAGAGAAAACAATCTAAATAAGAAAACAATTTGCCAACTGAGGCACTCGGTGTAAAAAAGGAGTAGCAAATTACACACTCAAGAGTACATAGACAATTATACAGCAGAACACACATCACAAATGATCCATCAACAAAATACATCAGTTGATGAAGTTCCTGCCAGCTGAAGGGAAGTTTCATTCCACTTCATTGCCTCATCACCACAGTGCCTGTCTTTAGATTTAACCACAGGTAACTTGACCGAACCAACATCAGGAGCTTCTATTGCAGACAACTTTTTTGCAGCAACTGCCTTCAGACGGTACCTTTCGGCTCTTGACCCGAGTACTTGGCCCAATATCGATGCTGCAATGGTAAATGCCATGGCTGATTTAGGCATCAAGACAGACTTCCTAAGCATTGCTATGAATGGAACAGCTGCATGAACAGCTGCAAACCAGGATGGTGAAAATTTCTTGGTATGTTCTCTCCATACACCTAAGGGGACATTAGCTGCCATCCCCATCATACCGATCACAAGAACTTTTGTTGGCAAGCCCTGAGGGCGGAGATTCTTTGCAAATGCGGTGCGAGATATAGCCGCTCGAGCCGCAATTATTACCTGTGGGCACTTGTAATGCATACCGGCAGGAGGCTGAATAACCTTTGCTACGAGTGGAAGGACTTTGCTGACAGCCTGATAAGACTTTGCAATTGGACAGTTCCCATTTTGCAGCCAGTCATTGCCTGCCTCATGCTTCGAACCATCCTGAATATCAGTTAAATACACCCATTAGAGACACCGAAAAAGGTAATGTAAATCATGACCGAAAGTTGTACTACATGTTTTAAAACAAATATCTCAATGTGTTTCTTAAGTGCTAACTAAGAAGGCATAAACATGCTATTTATGAATTTAAGATCTTCACTAGAGAACTCTTTCATTGAAAATGAGCTGGCAGTGGCAAGAAAAGCAGATTGAATGTATAGCATACCTTTGAGGAAGGATCTTTTTTTGAGGAGTTGGATTTTTTATTCTGTTTCTTCCACTTCTCATTAAATGAGTCAAAACCGAAAGGTCCGCCAAATCCAAATGATGACAGACTAATAGTTGCCGCCTTTGCAGCCAAAGGATTGAATTGGGATTTTGGAAGTTCGGGCTTCATTTTGTCTAAACGCTGAAAAGATCTCTCGGATAAGGGAACTACACCGTCGCTCCCATGGAAAAGCCTAAATGCCAAATCAAAATTGGGACCATCTTCAAAAATTGGACCTTTCGCCGCACGCACCTGTGTAAGAGATATTTCGTAAGTATATCAGTTTCTATTTCAGATTAATAACAGAACAAGTAAAAAATGCTGAGCTTGTAGCATAATGTCATAGCAAGTTAAATAGCACATGGATATAATTATACAAAAATACAGTTTGTTTCCCTGAACAGGTAAAAAATGCTGAGCTTGTAGCATAATGTCATAGCAAGTTAAATAGCACATGGAGATATAATTATACAAAAATACAGTTTGTTTCCCTGAACAGGTAAAAAATGCTGAGCTTGTAGCATAATGTCATAGCAAGTTAAATAGCACATGGAGATATAATTATACAAAAATACAGTTTGTTTCCCTGAACAGAAGCTTTAATTTAAAATAACTGCATTTTGGTCAGACTCGGTACATAAATCTGAGAAGTAAGAGCAATATACGACAAGCATCATTCGCAAACAACTGCTCGGTGACAGAAAAATTCATATATGCAGGATAAAGATACAGTAATCCTGGAATATAATTATATAAAAATACAGTTTGTTTCCCTGAACAGAAGCTTTAACTTAAAATAACAGCATTTTGGTCAGACTCGGTACATAAATCTGAGAAGTAACAGCAATATACGACAGGCGTCATTCGCAAACAACTGCTCAGTGACAGAAAAATTCATATGTGCAGGATAAAGAAAAGGATGAAATGAGAATTATATCAACCAAAAAGAGAACTTACAGGCATTGGAAAAGCCAAAGGTGAAACAAATGAGAAGTTAGTTGGTTCATTAATGTTCCTCAAGAATGGACACCTAAGGATAGAGTCCTCAGTTATATCTCGAGTAAAAAAGTCCATTCCTCTGCTTCAATCTAACAGACCTGCAAAAAAAGGAATCATAAATAAGAAAGAAACTCATAGTGGAATTGCAACACGGGTGCGCGCGTGCGCGCACACACAAACAAACATGTGAAGTTCGCATCATGATACAATACCTAATAGCTAATACCCAACCAATATGATACAATATCACAACATTAAAAGGAAAATCCATAATTTCCCATTAACTTTATGAAAAATTATTTTAACTTGTTATTAAAATGAATCAAATCAACAAGGCTACAATTTAATATCAACTAGTGACTATAGGTTTAATCAAGTTAAACATGATCACTATCCTAAATTGCATTAATCCACACCATTGAAGCTTCTAACACGTCTAATCTTTTGCATCCCCAAAAGTCAACTCAAAGACAAATACCAACCAATTTTCTACATTCACCAAATTTCAAACAATTCATATGCATACCAAAACCCAATTCACCCACCAAGTTCAAAACAGATGAAAAAATCAAACCTTTCCAACAACAGTATCGCAAATCCCAAAACAAAAACAAAATTATCACAACAGAAAAAAGTCGTGAAAAATCACCGAAATGAAGAAATTGAAACTACCGATCTAGAAACAGAGAATCAATAAGCTATAAAAAATACCGAAATTTCAACAAAAAAAAAATAATAATAGAGATAGGTACCTTTCGGAGATTGCAAGAGGCACACGCCAATGTTAGAGAGAGAAAGTGAGGAGAGAGAAAGTGAACAATTGAAGCAACGAATAAGATTGAGAACGTGGTTAGGTGAGAGAGAAACTAACTCTATATGAAAAATTGAAGTTTTTTTTCTGTTCCAAAATTAATGTGTTTAATATTTATTAATCTTTTTGAGTTTAAGATGGAAAAAAATTAAAAATTAAAAATTAAAATATTAAAAGTCAATTATGGCTGTGACGTGCACACGCCAAAGTTGAAATAACCAAAATTGAATGGTAATGTGCTAAGCACGAGTTTTGTTTTTTGAAAGATTGGGTCAAATTTAGTTCTAGAAATATTATAAATGTTTGATAAAATACAAAGAGGTTTCTAGAACTATAGAAATTCTTTGTATTATAATTGTATAAAATGTGCATGAAATTCATTGCATAGAACAAATTTATTTGTTATGGAAAATAACAAATTTATTTGTTATGGAAAATAACAAATTTATTTTTAAAAGTTTTTTACTAAAAAATTAATTTAAAAGTGATATTTAAAAAATGTATCAGCCTATCAAGCTTGATAAGTTAAGAATTTAGGTTTAAATCTCATATTTTTTTAGGATTTATTTAACCCTCCATCTAATATTTTTTAGAATTTTTTTAACTCTGTTCAAAAAAAAAAATTTATTTGTTAGAATAATTCTTATAAGTAATAAATAATCCGCTAACTTTACGTAATTATAAATTTAAAAAAGTCATATGAATGTTTTTACTGTCTCACTTCATAATAATATATCAATTTTTATCAACGCACTAATTTTATTTTTATTTTATTAAATCTTTCTTTTTTTTTTAGATTAATATAACTAAATTAATATTTAATTATTTTGTATTTTAATTTACAATTTTTCCATATTCTAGTACTTTCCCGTATTTTAGTAATTTTATATTATATTTATAATAAATATTATAAAGTTTTTATTTTAATTTTTGCATAAAAATAATTTATTTTAGGTCAAATAATTTAAAATTCATATAAAATCAGACTCATATAATAATTTTTGAACTCATATTATAAAAATATAAAAATTGCATCCAATTCTAAAAATCTTGGACTCATTAAGGTTTGCCTCAGGTTATTCCGTTTTTGAGTAATATTTATATTTTTTGAACATTGATTTATATGATTTGGTTTGGTCAATAGAGTTAGTAGTTGGTTGGTGTTGTAGTTGGTTTCGTACTTTTGTTCATGCTTTTTATTATTTTATTATTAATTTTTTAAGCGATTCCGTTTACACCTCATGAGTTTTATTCTTTTTTATAATTATTGCTGTCAATGCCTGATGTATAAGGGAATGAAAATGAATATATTAATGTTAATATTTTGTATTTCTTTGTTCATCTCATGAAAGGTAAATTTATTAACATAAGGATAAAAAATTATAAGAATAGATCGTGGTTTAAATTTTACCACATACTTCAGTTATTATGAATATATTGTCGTGTGCCCATCAATAATACATCAATTATTTATATTTTCCTTAAACTAATTTTAAGGATTCGCCTTTCATAAGCAAAGAAATGGAAAAACTCATATATATTAAATATTCTTGTACGAATCACTGAATTTTAACATATTTTTTCGGATAAACACTTTGGTGCATTAAAGGCCGTTTTATTGAGTGGTTTATATTCCAAATTAATGTTTAATGAAATAATAAGGTACGATAGGTTAATTTTTGAAATTTATACTATTTAATATTTTAAATTAAAATTGTGTATCAATTTTTTGTTACATTTGGTAAATTTAAATTGAGTTAAAAACTAACAGGACAGAATAATAATAATAATAATAATTTACTGGTGTATGCATTGTGTTAAAATATAAAATTAAACTCTAATATGAAATAAATAAACAAAAAATTGATATTAAACTTAAAAATTAAATTTTTTTAATAACGAATCATTAAAACTATGAATTTTAAATTAAGGTTTTTATCGGCTTTTTGTTTTAATTTTTAAAAAATTGTATTTTAAAAATTAACTTTTATGAAAATATTTTTTATTTATTAAAATTTTTTAATTCATTTTTTAAAAATTAAAAGATTAATTTTATCATCTTAACGTTTGGTTTATGTTTTTTTATAAAATAACATCACAAAAAGAAATATTCATTTGGTGTTGTGCACACCATCTTCCTACGTCTGCTATTAAAAATAGCAAATTCTTTCATAAGAATGAATTTAATTTAGTTACCGATATTTTTAATGTAAATTATTATAAAATTTTAACTTATTTTAAAATATATTAAAATTAAAAACTAATGTAATATAAAATTAAGAAATTTTTTGACGCTCCTTAAATGTTTCTATCATACTACAGAAAATTTCACAATGTCTCTCTTTTCGAAGATGCATCCTCAGATGTATTCCAATACACGCTCAAGTAAGGTTATTTCTGAGTGAGGCTCCTTTTTTTTGTTTTCTTTATTCTAGAGATGAGAATAATTTTGTAGTTACATTTTTTAATACATACCAGTATCAGATTCAACTCAAAAGTAATTTTTCAAAATGAAATTTATTGGGGTCGGTTGAAATATACATGTTAAAGAAGTCTCACATCGCTTAATTTTGTGAATGAAGAGAGAATACAAGGCTATATATATGATACAAGTTATTTGAAGTCTCACATCGCTTAGTTTTATGAAGAAAGTGGAAGTCCAAATGTTATATATAGGATTCAAGTTCTTTATTCCAAGATGCACTAGTCAAAAGCACATTAAACTTGTATTTGATTTTCTTTGTTCTCTTATACTCTTGATTTTAGAGTGTTGTGATGGGTAGTTAAATATTTGTTTTGGAGAGTGTGGGTATATTTGGGTCTTGGGGTGGTTGAGGTTAGTCTATGTGTTGTAATAATTTTCACATAGTGTTATTCTCGGGTTGTCATTTGACAACGGTCGTGATTTTTTCTCCGATTTTGGAGTTTTCACGTTAATTTCTTGTGTTATTATTATGTTTCTCTTTTTTTCTCTATGCTTTATTTTTTTTCTAGCAAGTGGTATCAAGAGTCTTGGTTTGGTGGGGTATAAATTTTTTTAGTATGCTCTGTGGTTGCAGTTTTAGCGGATCTTCCACATCAGAAAAGAAAATTTATACTCTGTGTTGGTTGAGAAAATTTTGTTTTCCTGCAAGGAAGGTTTTGGTTGAAATGTCAAGTTTTTCAAGTGCAGTGAAGATTGACTTAGAGAATTTGATGGAATAATTAATTTTGCCTTGTGGAAAATTCAAGCCAAAGATGTTTTTATACAAATAGGATTGCACAAGGCGTTGAAAGAAAACATTTCCAACATGGACAACGAGAAGTGGGAGGAATTAGATTTGAGAGCTTCGAGTATAATCGGCATGTCTTTGGCTAAGAATATTCTTGCGAATGTTCTTGGTACGTCGTTAGCCAAAGAGCTTTGGGAGAAAATTGAAGGGTTATATCAAAGAAAGAGTATATCAAATTGTTTATTGTTGAAGGAGCAGTTTCATAGCTTGCGTATGGATGAACATACGAAAGTATCTGATCATCTAAGTATTTTAAATGATATTGTTTCTGAATTAGAAACTATTAGAGTCAAGATTGACGGTGAAGATAAAGCTTTGAGACTCATATGATCTCTTTCATCTTTCTATGAGCATATTAAACATGTCATAATATATGGGAAGGAAACTTTGAGCTTTGAAGAAGTTGCTAGTAAGATTATTTTTGAAGAAAGAAGATTGAAGGGTGAGGATAATAATTTATCAAACTCAATTTTGGTTGCTAGAGGAAGGTCGTATGTGAAGAAAAACAATGAAACGGGTATGAAATGTTGGAAATGTGGAAAGCTTTGACATATAAAGTATAAGTGTCCCGATGGGGCTGCGTTAGAGAAGGGTTGTAACACCCTAAATATACCCTCGCATAACATAAATAAAAATCAGAGTTTATCTCACAAAATCATATTTAGGATGCCACCATCCAAAAAAATCTGCTCAAGTACATGACATGCAACACATCAACTTTTCTTAAAACAACGGAAACATTAACAAATAGTTATTCAAAGCATAAGCATGGTTTTCAACAAATTAAAATAATCAAAGTTAAGAGATATCCAAAATCTCAAGCAAACAAAACATAAGAAAAGCATAACGTCTCATAGCCCTAGTGTTACATATTAGAGCAGACGCCAAACTAAAAGAATAAACAGAAGACTTCATCTTCCACTCACATCTGAGCTCCTACTGCGAATTATCTACACGTTACCCACGTAGAGGCAACATTCAAACAGAAGGGG